AGAGAGAGAGAGAGAGAGAATTGGTTCGAGGACAGGGCAGCGAATTAACGAAACATACTACATTAAATTATTCGAAACGGACACAGATTCAAACCTCGACTTTCTTTTTGTTTTCCAAACTGTTAATAAATTTAACTGTATGATTATCCAGTGACAGCCGAGCGTAAAGAAAAATATTTTGTCACCTCCTCAAAGATGACAATCTCTAGCAAGCAGCGGCAGATGGCCACTGGCAAATCCTCTGACCTGACCTTTTGCAACAGTGTTTATTATGGAGTGTCCTGAAGAGCACGAGAATCAATAGACAGATACAGTCTCGTTATAGCATTTCCGTCTCAATCAATACAAAGAGCATTATTATCATTTTAACATTCTCGATTCGTCAGATTCGGACACAACGCTGTAATCCTTAACGAAGAGAAGGTCTTTAATTTGCCTTTCCACAGCACATAGATACGGTCTCGCTCTCTTGTCATTATTTTGAGTTGCTTGGAGATGATACATCTGACGAACCTTGAGGGTGTATGAATCTGTGTGCAGGTAGAGAGTTGGGGGAATAACGCAGTATGGTGAGTATTCGTTTTCTGAGAATAATAACGTTTTATAAACAACGATTGACCTTGTCAGTTTGTTAGTGTTTAAGCGTTTGATCGACTACAAGCGCTGAATGCCCCCCCCCCCCCCCCCCGGGGGAGCTGAGAATGTTTGTGAGTGGACTAGGGTCTTGTGGGGTATAGATGGTTCAATTTTGTCTGACCGTGGTTTAAAAAAAGGTGAAATGAAATCGCTCTGTTTAATCTTCTCAGATCTTTGCATACGGGTCATAAGCGGACCAACACAATATCACTGGATCAAGTTTTTGGGGGGTTTTTTGTTGTCGTAGTTTTTTAAATGTTTTTGTTTGGTCGCCTGCCCGCACAAGCGCCCTGTAACGTTTCGTAGGCATAATATATAAATTGATATATGAACTAGGATATTTTTAACGCCGAAAGACGAAAAAAACCAAACCATATCAGATTGTGAAGCTCAAAATGCTTGCTGTTGCGCGGGGGTGTCTGCTGTACAAATTGTACTGCTATTTATTATTGTCATTTTTAGCCCTCTGTGCTGTGTACAAAAGATATATTCCGGAGTTGACTTTATACTATTCAAAAGTTGACAAATGAATTGTTACCGTACTGGATTGTGATACCTATAAGACTAATTAGTTCGAATCTCTAAAGGAGCATTCTTGAATCTGTCTTTTTTTATGCTTTCCACACACTAGTACTGTCCTCAGGGAGAGCTGTGCTAATTAAACTTTCCTGGCGCTTCTTGCAAATCAAACAAGATGATTAACTTAGCACATCTCTTATTTATCTATGTATTTATTTATTTATTTATTTATTTATTTATTTATTTATTCATTGATTTATTCATGTATTTATTCATTCATTGATTTATTCATGTATTTATTCATTTTAAAAATATTTTCATTTATTTCTTTATCGTATTAATTAATTAATTCATTCATTCATTCATTTATTCATTCATTTCTTTATTTTTTAAACGTTCTTTTTTCAGTAGTACAGTCTAAACCTAGCGCACTGTTTACCGAATTCAGGGAGGCAAGTCGAACGAAGTCCCAACATGTCACATCGATCTAGATGTACCGCATCAAATAGATCTAGGAGGAGTATGCATCCATTTGACTGAAATTCTCAAGCGTTCTCTAGTCTTTTGTAATAATCCTGTTTTGGCCCCAGTCCCAACGACTACTATGACATAACCCTAAACCCTTACTGCCCCTAACTCTATCCCTAACCAGTAAAATGTTACTAGAATTTAGGTCTATCGCTATTCCGGTATTCTTAGTGTAATGTTAGTATACACACACGACTGTAAATGTAAACGAGAGAAACGAACACACTCGACACCAAGCAATCTAAAAATGAGCCCGGGTGCTGTGTCTCACTTTTTACGTTGATCCCCGAAGTGAGTAACATTAACCAAAAGCCCATGGCCTACTGGGCGCTTACGTCCCGTGATTAAACAAGAGTAAGGTACGAAACTGGGACTACCGTGACATCTCCCCTTTGAATATTGAGACGACTTCTCGTATCTCGGAGCTGAGACCAGGCCACCAAATGGAAGATTTGGCCCGTTCTCGACACTTCGACACTCCGAGGTGACCGTCGTGGATCCTGCTGAGCATCTCTCCTCGCATTGCTTTGGGGATTACGATGCGGTTGCCTCTGACGAGTAGTCCATGGACTTCGCTCAGTTCACTGGAGACTGCGTAGAGGTCACGAGCTTCGGACCTGACGTTTTAGATAAATTTCGGCCAACCGCTTCTGGTGTATTGTATCAAAGCACTGATCGTTGGATCCTGTTGACACTTGTTTCTGATTTCGTCAAGTTTGCTATCCGTGGCATCCTATGACATCTGGATTGTAGCGACATGAGCCTCGATTTCTTCTCCAAATTCTTCAGATTCGGTGCACACTACAGGACGTTAGGACAAGGAGTCCCTTGATTTTCCCTTGGGTGCATTCTGCTTTTCCATTGTAGCGCATCATCCTCTTCAGCATCCGTTGGCAGCGGATAGGTGCATCGCTCAGTTCCTTAGAGTTGACCAGGAGCACAATGAGCTTGTGGTCGGTGAGCAGTGTGAATGACGGCAGCCCGATGAGGTATAGATCGAACTTTTCGCACCCCCAGGCGGCGGCCAACAGTTCCTTTTCAATCTGAGCGTAGTTCTTCTCGGCCCTAGATAGAGTTCTGGAACAGTAGGCCACTGGCTGAAGATCACCCCTGTCCTTCTGGAGGAGACCTCCCCCTAGTCTGTAGCTGATTGCATCGGCGCGTACAACGACAGGATTCCTCATGAAGAAGAAGGCGAGTGTTGGAGCTGACGACAGCAACTTCTTGACTTCAGTGAAGGCAGATGACGGTGCAGGAGTCCAGGCCAACTCAGCATCTTGATTCAGAAGATCGGTGAGCTGCTTCATGACTGTTGACAGATTTGGCACAAACCTGCCAAAATAGTTCACCATGCCGAGAACTCGTCGCAAGTCTGTAATGTTCTCTGGCTTTGGCATCTCAGTGATGGCGCTGACATTGGATGGATCTGGCCTTACACCCTTTCCGCTGATGATGTGGCCCAGAAAATCGATTTTATCCTTGTCAAACTTGAATTTGGATTTGTTCAACTTGACCCCACGTTCCTTTAGCCACTGGAAGACTTTTTTCTTCAGCTCATTGTGTTTCTCCTGACCATCCGCGTGCAGGAGGATGCCGTCCATAAAGCACTCAACAAAGTCTATACCCGCTAGAATGTCTTAAATTGTGCGCTGAAATATGTCAGGCGCAGAGGTGATTCCAAAGTAGAGACGTCTGCAGAAGTACCGACCGAACGGGGTTATGAAAGTAGTCAGCTTCGCCGAGTCGTCGTCCAGTGCCAACTGCCAAAAAGAAGAAGTTGCATTAAGCTTGCGGAACTTGTTTTGATCCGCTGAGTTTGTACAATATGTATATCGTCGGCAGCATGAATCGTTCACGCTTCACCGACAGGTTGAGCTTTTTCAGATCTGTGCAGATTCTAACGCTACCAGACCTTTTTCTGACCGGGACCATGGGCGCACACCAGTCAATTGGAGCGCTGATCTTCTCAATGACACCTGCGGCCTCTATGCGGTCTAGTTCAGCCTTGACTTCGTCCATGAGTGGAATGGGAATCCGACGTGCGACGTTCACGGAGTATGGCTGTGCATCTTCTTTCAAGATGATATTCACTGGCTCGCAGCATACAGGTTCAGGTCCCACATCGCCGAACACAAGGTTGGCAGCGTCTATTCTGTCTCGAGAGATCTGTCCCAGACGAACTGCGGTGTCGCGATTGAGATGACAGTCGGTGTCGTCGTCAAGGACGAAAACACGGAACGCAAAGTTGGGATTGTTATGCTGTGTAGTCGCGATAAATTGTCCCACGCTCCATATGACTCCACCAAGATAACGAAGAACTGGAGACGTTGTTTTCAGCTTTGGACGAGGACTGAGGCGGTTGTAGTCGG